CACCACACGACACCACGGGACACCTCGGGACACCGCGAGCCACCGCCGGACGGGCGGGAGGGGGAGAATCATTTGTCTTAATTTCGCCCTAGCAACGGCGGACACCACGGCACACCACGGGACACCACGGGATACCGCGGGACACCGCGAGCCACCGCCGGACGGGCGGGAGGGAGGGGGAGAATCATTTGTCTTGACTTCGCCCTAGCAACGGCGGACACCACGGCACACCACGGGACACCACGGGACACCGCGGGACACCGCGAGCCATCGCCGGACGGGCGGGAGGGAGGGGGAGAATCATTTGTCTTGATTTCGCCCTAGCAACGGCGGGTTCATTCTTCTCGCGCGCCAACGCAGCTTCGCCTCGCCCGCACGCACGACACGAACGAAACGAAACGATTTCCCGGTTGGGGGTCTCCGTTCCACTGCGATCTCACCCCCCAATCTCCGATACGACAACCCTTCGGGTAATAGCGAGGTGGGGGGGAAGGAAAACCCACTGACAACAACTGCGATGACTGTGATTGCGATGGCATGGCGCCATCGATCTAACGAATTTCACTGTATCGATCTCACCATCGATCTCTCGATCACTCTCGATATCGATCGCACTATCAATCTCACTATCGATCTCAATATCGATATGATAAGAGATCTCACGATCGACCTCACAAGAGATCTCACGAGACACCATCGGTACACCAAGATGGGCCCCCCAGCCTCGGCGGGGCACCCCCAGCCAAAGATCTGTTGTGATCGATCTCACTACCGATCTCACTATCGATCTCTCGATCTCACGATCGATCTCACGATCACGCAATCGATCTCACTATCGATCTCACTGTCGATCTCACAGTTGATCTCACGAGCTACCATCAAGACACCACGGCGGGACAACTGGAGCCACCGTTGGGACACCCCGCGCCACCGACGAGGCACCCCGCGCCTCCGATGGGGCACCCCCGCGCCACCGACGCGACAACCCGAAATCGATATCACGATCACGATGGATCACGCAATCGATCTCACCATCGATCTCACGATCGATCTCACAGCTGACCTCACGAGCTACCATCGAAACGACACGGCGGGACACTGGGAGCCACCGTCAGGACTCCCCGCGCCACCGTCGGGACACCGACGGGACACCGATGGGACACCGACGGGGCACCGACGGGACACCGACGGGACACCGACGGGACACCGACGGGACACCGACGGGCCACCGACAAGCCACCGACGGGACACCCCCGGGCACCGCGCGCCGGGTGGGGGGTGGGGGGGGGGCGGACAACCGGCTCCACAGCCCCTAGCCACGGCGTCATCATTCTTCTCCCGCGCCCACGCAGCTTCGCCTCGCCCGCACGCACGACACGAACAAGAAGCCGAAACCGAGTTCCCAGTGGGGGGCTCTCCGTTCCTCTGCGATATCAACCCTCAACCCCCGAGCTTCTCGGAGCGCTGGACGGATTTCGTGGATCGGCGCTAAGCCCCCTCCCTGGTGCGAGCGCGCAGGAGGCTCTCCGTTCCTCTGCGATATCAACCCTCAACCTCCGAGCTCCTCGGAGCGCTGGACGGATTTCGTGGATCGGCGCTAAGCCCCCTCCCTGGTGCGAGCGCGCGGGGGCGGCGCCGCAGGCGCCGCCAGGGAGGCCCAACGGCGATCCAAGAGATCCGCACGGACCTCCGAGAATGCATGTTGCCGTTCTTGCTGCCTCTCTTCGGGTGGGCCGAGCGCGCCCCGCTGCCCTCGCCTTGCTTGTCATGCACGCCGCCAGAAGATGTCCATATCCACAGCCGCGGGGTCGTGTCCTCAGGACTCGCTGAGCTCCCCAGGGCCCGACTCCGAAGCAGTGGATGTGGACATAGTCTGGCGGTGGATCATGCTCGTGTCGTCCCGTGCTTGCGTGCACCTCCGCATCGGTTCTGTGGTGGGCTGCAGGCTTTGTGGGCCCCGGAAACGGCGGGGCCGTCTTTTCACTGTTCCCAAGAGAATGTTCCTTGAAAGTGGAAACGGCAAAAAAACGGCGACCGGAAACGGCAAAAAAACGGCTCCAGGACTGGAACCGGAGCCGGAACCGGTCAAAAAACGGCGACGGAACCGGTAAAAAAACGGCAAAACGGAACTTCGAAGGCAAAACGGCAAAACGGCAAAAGGAAAGTACCAAAACGGCCCTGTCGTTTCCAGGGCCCACGAAGGCTGCAGGTGCCTCGTGCCCGCTCCAGGCGCAGAGGGCCACCGGCGGGTCCCCGGGGCGGCTCGTGTGCGCCGCGGGGCGCGGAGGCTGCCCGTGACTGTCTTCCCGCGCGCACAGGAGCGCGGGGGCGTGGAGGCCTCGAGCTCTGCCGCCGCCGCGGGCGCCTCGGCATGGAGGCTGGCGTGTCGGCGCTGCCGTGTCGGCCATGGCAGTCAAGGTCACAGCTTGCGCTCTCGGGCAGCACGCATCTCCTCCTCCTCCTCCTCCTCCTCCTCCTCCTCCTCCTCCTCCTCCTTCTCACTGTCCTTTTACTCTCCTTCTCCTTCTCTTCCTCCTTCTCTCCCTTCTCGTCCTCCTCCTCCTCCTCCTCATCCTCATCCTCATCCTCCTGTTCCTCCTCTCTTGTCTCCAACTCCTCCTCATCAGCATCATCATTGTTCAGCAGCAGCATCATCATAAGCATCATCAGCATAATCAACAACAACATAATCATCATAATCATTGTCAGCATTATCATTATCAACATAATCGTCGTAATCATCATCACCATCATCATCATCATCGTCATAATCCTCCTTCCATTCCCCATATCCTTACTATTCCTCATCCGCACTTTCCTCCTCCTTCTCTTCCTCCTCCTTCTCCTCTTCCTCCTCCTCCTCCTCCTCCTCCTCCTCCCCATCACTGTCCACACTTCCCTCCTCCTCCTCCTCCCTTTCCTCCTCCTCTTCAAGCTGCCTCTGCTTCTCCATTTCCTGCTCTTCCTCCTCCTCTTCCCCTCCTCCTCCTCCTCGTCCTCGTCCTCCTCCTCCTCGTCCTCGTCCGTCCCTTTTCCTTATGGATATTTCCTCATTCGTCTAACCACCAGACGCGTCGGTGGGGCAGGCTGGCTGTTTCGCCCAAGACCTCCTCGCAACTCACGTTGCTGAAACCTGAAGTCTCAAACAGAAACAAGTACGGAAGGCGGGCGGTTTCAAAGTGGAGCTCTCGCCGTAGCGCCGCACACAGTCGTCTGAAAAGCCTGCAACGATGACAAGCATAAAGGGCGGGCGACTTTCACAATCGAGCTCTCGCCGTAGCAATGCACACGTTCGTCTGAACAGCGCGCAACAGTTATAAGAATAGAGGGCGCGTGGTGTTCAGAATGCAGATCTCGCGCTAGCGCCGTGCAGGTTCGTCTTAAAGGCTTGCGACAGCTAGAAGGATGGAGTGTGGCTCTTTTTCAAAATGAAGCTCTCGCATGAGGGCCGCGCACGTTCGTCCCAAAAGCGTGCAACACTCAAGCATTCAGGGTGGAGGGCGAACCTTTTTCCGGATGGGGCTCCCGCCTCAGCGCCACGCACACTCTTCAAAACTTCCAACAAGGATGGAGGACGGCTTTTCTTTTGATTGGGCTCTCGCTTGAGACGCCCTCGAAGAGTGCATGGCCAAAAGTGCGAAGGTGTGCAACAGCTGCGCAGGCGAGACGGGCTGCTCTCAAAAACGGGGATCTCGCTGGACACCTCGCATTCCCCGCTGCATTGTCGCCTTCCCCCCTGCCCGCTAGAAGAATGAAAGACACGTCCTTTCCAAGACAGGGCTTTCGCCTGAATGCGGCGCTGGTCTTCCACGAAGCGCAGATTGTGGTGAGAAGGAGGGCCTGCAGGAACCTGCGAGATGGGGGCTCGAGACAGGAGGATGTATTGCAGCATCGTAGGTGGATCTGGGGTTTGTTTTGGAACTCCTCTTCCTCCTCCTCCTCCTCCTCCTCCTCCTCCTCCTCCTCCTCCTCCTCCTCCTCATGACTACCAGCATCAACGTCATAATGTATCACCATCATCATCAATAGCATCATCATCCTCATCATCATCAGCAGCAGCATCATCGTCATCACTAGCACTTCCACCACCACCAACATCATCATCATCAGCCTAATCATAATCATAATTAACATCAGCATCATCATCAGTATCATCATCATCATCATCATCATCATCATCATCATCATCATCATCATCATCATCATCATCATCATCATCATCATAATCAGCATCATCATCAGCATCAACATCATCATCAGCATCGTCATCGTCATCGTCATCATGAGTCATCATCGTCAACAGCATCATCAGCATCATCATCGGCATCATCGCCATCATCGTCATCATCGTCGTCATCATCGTCATCATCATTATCAGCATAATCACCATCACCATCACCACCATCACAATCACCATCACCATCACCATCACCATCATCATCATCATCACCATCATTAGCATCATCATCATCATCATCATCATCATCATCATCATCATCATCATCATCATCATCATCATCATCATCATCATCATCATCATCATCATCATCATCATCATCTCCCGCCGCCTGGCTTCCCAGGCGGAGGCCTTCCCCGGCCGGGCCGGGCCCGCTCGCCGCTCGGGCCTGGGCCTGCAGGGGGGCCCGAGGCTTCTTTTCGCCGGTTGGAACGCGGCGGCGAGCTGCTTCCGCGGGTCTTTCACTCGCCGGCGCGCCGTGCCGCACTGCCCGAACAGGGGGGGGAAGGAGGAGGGGGAGGAGGAGGGGAAGGGAGACGAAAGAGGAGCAGTGTGGGAGGAGGCGAAAAAGGGGCGCTGGAGGAAAGAAGAGACGAGGAAAGAGATGAGGGGAAAGAAGAGGGAAAAGGAGCAGGATGAAGAGGACTAGGAAGAGACAGGCAGGAGAACGAGGATAAAAGGGAGGACAAGACAAGAATGCGTCGGACCACAGTCCAAAGTTACACTCGACACCTACACGCAGAGACGAGCACGAGAACGAGGATCAGCATCTCCAATGCTCCCGGTACTCCGAAACCCACCGGCCAAGGGCGCTGACCACGCTCTCGCGGAGCGCGTCCCTCACAACCTCCGACAGCTCCGCCAGCTCAGGGCCGTACGGGCACGACACCTTTGTCT